TGAGTCCTGGAATGAACCAACCTTTGTATGAAACAAGCATCTGACAGAACAGAAATAGATAATTCTTCAACAACTAATGAAATAGCTGTAATGTTCTTAATTATTTCTGAAATTATTCTGGAGCAAAAACATTAGTAAATTCCAGCACAGTGCTCTTAATTCTCAATGTGTGTTTTAAATTCTAAATGTGCTTTTTGTTTCTTCAGCTAGAGCTCAGATAACAGTTTATGAAGTGCCATACTGCAGTTAGCTATCATATGACATGACTGGTTTGTACCAGTGATAGGTCTTGCATGTGGAAAGGCAAAGCCACCATATGCCACGAGGCTGGCTGCTAAAGGCCTTTCAAAATATTGTGAATCACTTATTTGAAATAATACATATTCTGTTATAGACATATAACAGCAGTTTGAAAAAATGGCAGCCACTGCCTATGTGTAGAAAACCTGCTGATGGGCAGGACTTCATGTGAATGAAAAATCTGCAGGTATTTGTGATAATATATCTTGACATTAGAGAAATAAAGTCTGAAACATTTTTGTATAAGGAATGTTGTCATAATGCTAGTGGGTGAATCACCAGTCTGTAGGCTCAGCTGGTAGCACAAGGCTTGCCATGTGGAAGGCCCAAATATAGAAATGATCTTTGCTCTCACAGTTAGCCAAAGGGTAAATACTGAATCCTATACTTATTAGTATTTGCAAATGCTACAGTAATACTTGAAAATCTTTATAAAAATTAAAAAAATATTTTAGAAGCACAAATTATATTTAGATGTTTGAGCCAAAACGTGGAAAAACAAATATATATACTGTAATGACATTTTGAAGCAATTCATTAATTGAACTCTTGTATATATATCAATTCCACATGTATGAGCACAGTAGATTATCAATATATACTTTCTCAACATCTAGCATCACACAGTAATAACATTATCAAAAACATGAAAGTTTTTGCAAGTGTATGTTTTCTAAAGACAACATCACTATCTTGGGTCAAATTTGTGTTTGATCTGTACAGGGAGCAAACATGCAAATCAAGCAAAACTCTTAGTAGAGAACAAAGGCATCCTTACTTCTCTCGAAAAGCAACAGAATATGTTGCAATGTTAGTCTGAAGCCTGATATCTTAACAAAGCAAAGACACAAAACTCATGCATTATAAAATAGATTAAATATCATTCTTGATATGATGTGTGTTATAAAAAATTCCAGATGGAGTAGATTAAGCATTCAAGATTGAAATCCTATTACCATTGTTATTCCAAAGAAGGAAGGCATGAGGATGTGGCTTTTCTCATTCCTGAACTTATATCAACCCTGTGTCCCAGGTCTATGCAAGTATACATTCATTGTCTTTCATATAGAAAATGTTCCTTAATAAGAAATAATTTGCAGTATACTGTACTTATAACCACAAGTCTTGTCCATGGCTATTTTACAAAGTACATACAGGTGTCATTGTCCATCTATATGAATGTGACACATTCATTCATTTATTCTATTTTACAAAGTACATACAGGTGTCATTGTCCATCTACATTCATTCATTTATTAAAAATTTACCCTGCCTTTCTCCTTAAAAAAGAACCCAAGGTGGCTTACATCATTAAAAGACTATTAAAGCCCACAACAGTGAGGATATAAATACTTAAAAGGATCAAACAAGTACCATACCAAAAAAACAAACAAACCCATAAGCAACACCAAAACACATTCAAAGCACTAATGTACAACAATCCATTTTAAAACCCCACTCAAGCAATCAATCACTCAGGGAAGGCTTGCCTAAAGAGAAAAGTTTTTGACTGCTTGCAGAAGGACAGCCAAGATGGGGCCAGCCTAACCGCCTGTGGCAGGGAGTTCCAGAGTCTGAGAGCAGCAACAGAGAAGGCCCCACCAAATGTACCCGTGAAGATGGCAGGCAGGACCGAGAGAAAGGCCTCTCCTGATGATCTTAACATTCAAGCAGGGTCATAAAGGGAGATGTGGTCCTTAAAGTCATCTAGGGCCCTATAGGTGTGTTTATTTTATCTATTGATCAGTACAAGTACATTAGTAAAAATAAATGCTTCCCCCCCCCCAAAGTGGCTGGTAGTGGTGTTTCCAGACAGACAACCCAAGGCACATGTATGCGACACTTTAAAGCTATTCTTCCGCTTCCTTTACCAGATATTCTGTGGCAAGGGAACGAACTTGCATTATAATTGGGGCAGGCCATCTCCTGGACCTCATCCTGCCCTCTAAAATTCCAAGTTTGAAGCAAGATAATGACACAATACAGTAAAAGCATCCTCTGGAAGTGCTAAAAGCGGTCAAAATACGAATCCCTCTGTAACTTGATTACTCTTACTTCAGCTCAGTTATTATCTGATGGCACAAATTAAACGGCAATTGAGACAGAGGCAAAGGACAGTGGATGGCATTTATCAAATCACACTCCGCAAATGTCTCTAATCCTAGGCACCGTAAAGGAGGACTAAACTCTATTGAAATGGGGCGACGTTTCCCAGCAGACGAGCACAGATCCTGGCAACTGAAAGGCTAATTAAAGCTGTTGAAAGCAGAAACGAGGCGAAACCCTTAAGACAGCCGCACACCGGAAGCCGAGCAGGCAGCTGACAGGGCCTACTGTGGGCCGGGGCGCCCAGCCAGCATTGGGAGGCGGGACCCACGTGAAAGAGCGCAGAGGTCCGCTCTCGGCGGCCGGCTATGT